TGTAGAAAAAAGGATATTCACTGATAAAATAAAAAAGGAGTCAAAGTGATGTTTAAAAAAATTATTGAGTAATGAAACTCGAACATATTTCTTGTAATACTTGATTGAATATATAACAATACATTCAATGATATTATAAGCACATAAAAGAAGTATAAAGAAATGGTAACCAACAAAGATATAAAAACTTTCATTCTGATTGAGGTATATTTGGATCTACATCTACTTAAAATTACCATAATTTTAATGAAGTTATTTCATTATACTTTTTTAAATCTGAATGCAACCATAACTTAAATGCAGTCAAATACACTTACACAAGATGTACAACTTTATTGAAAACTTACCAATAAAACAACCCGACCATGTAAAAATATATTACATGAATACATCAAACCTAAATGTACATAATATTACACAATACTTTTCAGCATAAACCCTCTTTAAAAAAATTATGAATAAAATTAGTTTTTGGATTCTTGTAAAATTCTTAAAAACTAAATTATTCTTATAAAATTTAGCGTGTATCTTGAAACGTTTCTAATATTCAATCTCCGAACTACTCGTTTTCCTCTTAAATATTTGTTCTTTCTAAGACGGAAGGGATTGTGCTTGTAAAAAATATTTTAACACTTAAGTTAATTTAGTGTGTTAGTAAGCAGTAAATACAATAACTAATGAAACATAATTAACATATTTTGTAAAATATGTTATTTATACTGACTGTCTATTAATTTTTATTTGGAAAGATCTAAATGAATGACTTAAATATTTATAAACTTTTAAATTATTGTTATTATTTATGAGTCATAATAATTAAGTGTCTTATGTAATGTTGTACTGAATAAATATATCGATTTAATAATTAATACATATTTTTCTAGAAACTAATATAATATGCTGAGAAATATTCGACGTCATATACAATTGAAAAAAAATTTATAATTAATTAGCTTCAAAATTTTTGCATAAAACCTATTATACGAACCAGTCTAATAAACTATTTAAATAATCAATTATAGCTCGAATATGAAAACTTTACAAACCCGAAGTAATAAACAAATATCAACAAAAGCAATTTTAACATATGGAAAGAACATTTTTTTTATATATATTAAGCTTTGACTAAGCAAGTCTTGGAAGTGGTGGAAAAATAAATAATAGGTTTAATGTCTCGGTAGGTCCCTATTTTTGGCGTGAATCTCAAACAGGTCCTTTTTCTTTTCGGCGTCTCAATTGGGTCCTTTTTTGTGTAAAATTGCAGCAATTAGAGATCTGCCGTCAAATTCAACAAACGGCCGTTTAAATTTGGCCTACGTGGTATGGTGAGATGGTGAGTGTATTCATTATGAGGCGCACCGACCTCCCCGCCCGTGACCTCCGCATATTGGACCCTCTCCTCTCCTACCCTTCCACCCTTCTTGGCCGTGAGAGGGCCATCGTCATCAACTTGGAGCGCATCAAGGCCATCATCACCGCCCACGAGGTCCTCCTCCTCAACTCACGTGACCCCTCCGTCACCCCCTTCGTCCAAGAGCTCCAGGCCAGGATCCTCCGCCACCACCAGGCCTTCTCTTCCAAACATCACGACCACCACACCGACTCCGACCCCGACCACGACCACGTCCCCGATGCCATCAAGATTCTCCCTTTCGAATTCGTGGCCCTGGAGGCCTGCCTTGAAGCCGCCTGTAGCGTATTGGAGAACGAGGTCCGTGCTTCCCTCTTCTCTTCTTTTCATTTCTTGCCGACAATTTCCCTCTGTCTTTACCCTAAATCTCTCTCTGATGACTCACAGGCAAAGACGTTGGAGCAGGAGGCTCATCCCGCCTTGGACAAGCTCACATCCAAGATCAGTACTCTCAATTTGGAACGCGTTCGTCAAATTAAGAGCCGATTGGTCGCCATCACTGGCCGTGTTCAGAAGGTTGGTGGGTGTGATTGATGCATGGCATGGGCTTCCGGGGGTTTGATTATTTCATTGTTTGATCATTTGTTCAGGTGAGGGATGAATTGGAGCACTTGCTGGACGACGACGATGATATGGCTGAGATGTATCTGACGGATAAGTTAGCCGACAGACGGCCGTTTGGATCCTTCGGTGCAGAAGGCAAAATGAAGTCTTGAAACGGTAAGCAAGAAAAACTCTTCTTTTATTAATATCTAGTACATTCAAAAACAAAGTGTATCTTTCATTACCGGGATGGGGAAAGGGACTCTGTGTATCATAGAGTCCTGATAAGTAAAAGGTAACAGAAACACTCCACTGTTCAACCAGAACAGTGAAGAACGGTCTAAACCAAAACCGTTAAGAGAATCGAAGATTCTCAATAGAAACTAATCTTATATTAATATGCTGAGAAATTTTGACGTCATTACAATATTGAAAAAAATTATAATTAATTAGCTTCAATTTTTTTTGCATAAAACCTATTATACGAACCAGTCTAATAAACTATTTAAATATCAATTATAGCTCGAAATGAAAACTTACAAACCCGAAGTAATAACAAATATCAACAAAATCAATTTTAGTATATGGAAAGAACATTTTTTTTATTATATTAAGCTTTGACTAAGAAGATTCTTGGAAGTGGTGGAAAAATAAATAATTATTTTTGAGAACAATGGTGCAAGAACAGCAATTGAATAAATATTAAAGATATAATAAATGTAGCAAATGAATATGATATGCTGGAAACATAATAGTCCTATTGATTAAAATGAACTAAAACCCATTTTCAAAATTTGACAGGCTTGTTTATGTCTAATTAGGTCAGATATATGGGTAATAAATTCATCATTTTACTTGGTAGTAAATTTCGTGCTAGCAAGCTTTGTCAACCACTTTTGAAAACGGAGTAATAGCTGTCTTTTCTTTATTTGCTTAAACCTCTCTATTCAGTGTTTCTAGGGTTTCAAGATTCGACGAGAGTAATAAATAAAATGATATTTATACTCTTTTATATATTACAAATTAATTTTTATCCTATGAAATTAAGTTGTATGAAAACAAAGCCAAATAAGACTGGTAAATAGAAATAGGAAAAGAAACATGGAATTTATTTGACATTTCATTTTCAAATTAATTATTCAACACTTTAGGTTTGCCATGACTATAAGTGTCCCATCGAAAACACAATCAGTTCCTTTCACGTTTTAATACAAAAACTGTAACCAAATATTTTAATTAGATGCAATAACTGATATTAAGAATATTAATCACCTAACTCTTGTTTTCAATAGAGATGCCAAATTAATTAATTTGCAGAGGAGCATATTAATATTTTGAAGGATTTATAGATTTACATTTACATTCCACCCACCACCCAATTCAATTCCTATTAATTTTTTTTCTCTCCAACTATAAAAAGAAACTTTTAATTCCACCACCCTACTATGTTTACTGAAAAACCAAACCCACGGCGCCGGAAATGTTATCCTGCAACGCGGTCTGAATGGAGTGACGGTGCTCCCCCTCGTACGTCACAATCAACATCGTCGGATCGTCGAAGCACGTTCCACGTGTTTCCTCGCCGGACATCCTCTCACCGTACTGCACTTATAGTAACCCCTGACAAACCAAGCATAACAAATCAACGTCAGTTCACAAACATTTGACTAAAGTCAACGCCAGATCACGCGTCATCACTCACCTCGGGTACGGTGATCCCTTGATCGGCTTCTGCCCGTACTTCCTCCACGAGAACTCGTCCGAGCATTCGGCGATTTTCGTACTAATCGCCGGCACTCTCACCGTCTTCTTCACCCGACTTTCCTGAAAGAAATTTTTTTTTTAGTAAAATTAAAAATAGAAAATCATAGGGCGCTTAGGTCAACATTCAAAGGCAACAATAATAATGAAGGTGGTTAACGTGAGAAAGTGGGGACGGGTCGTGTTTGGTATGTTATATTTTGTTGTTTTTATTGTGAAACATAATTTCCGAAAAAAAAGTGGATTGGCAAACGCGGCAGAGTACAAAAAGTCAGAGAAAAAAAACTCTTTGGTGTCAGTGTCACGCGTGCCTCGTGACTGTTTCCATTGAATGCCTTTAACTGCACTACTACCGAAATCGTTGACTCTAGAACGCAGACTGGCCG